GCAGGAATGTTTATTTTAGCTGAGCTAAAGCAGCAGAGCTTCCATCAGTGCTTATTTGTGAACATAGCAAAACGCCATTTGCAAGAAGCTGTGTTTGAGCTTTCGAGGGGACGGACAGACAGACAGAGCCTCTATTTTTAGCTAGAAAAGCAAAACTCAAATCTGCCTAGCAGCAGGTAAAGCAGGAGGAGGCAAGTGCCAGGAGAAAGATTTTTCCTACAGAATACTTGAAAAGTGGTTTTCTACTTGGTCCTTCCCCTCTTCCAGGTCCAAAGAGCCCCTTCTTTAGCTCCTCAAGGAAGGAGGCAGTGCTGAACACCCTAACGAAGCAGGGCACCACCACCCCTTACTCTACCTATGCAGAGTCAGAGGATGGTCCAGGTCCCACAACTCTGATTCAGGGCTCTGAGTTCAAAGCCAGGATGAAGGAAGGGAAGGGAGAAGGATGCTATGTGGGAAACCTTCACCATCACCAACCTTATCCCAGCAAACTCCAAGTTCTCACCAGGGAAGATTAATCTGCTGGTTAATTTGCCGTATTAGTGTCATCTGCTGCTCCTTTCCTGCCCAAGGATCACCTTATCAGCACAGACAATGAAGGGAGCAAACCCTGAGGTCCAGGTGGATGTAGACTATGAGGCAAATCACAGCCAGGCAGCAAAACTGCCCCCCAGCACCCCCCAACTGGTGATGACGGATTTGAATTTATCCTGATTTCTCCTCTCTCTGCTTTTACTTTTTTAGAGGGTTTTTCCCCCACCCGATATGGAATTTGCCTTTAAGAAAGCAATAAATTAGGGGTGATGGAGGAAGAAATACCCTTGATCAGGAGTTCATTTCTACTTTAACAAAGGCTCAATAGTAGCTCCCAGCTGCTATTTTATAACCACGCTCAGGTTAGGGTTTTTTTCTTTATCCTTCTTCCTTTAGGGTTTTCCTTGCTGCTTGATTTAAATCCTCCTGACATTCCACCTATTGTGAGTCCCATCCTCAGCTGAATAAACTACAATCTGCCTTTTGCTCTGGCTGCTTCCAGAAAAGGACACCCTGTGTGGTGTTTTCAGGCTTGGAGTCACAGGGGGAGGATTTTGCCTTGACATCTTCAGCTGCAAACCCACAGCTTGTGCCCACCTCACATTCAACATTCCAGCTGTGTCACAAACATCCTCCTGAAGCCGTGCTGTCAGCTTGTGTTTGCAGAAAGGGTCCAATCCCTACCTTAAGAAGGGCCCAATGCTGCAAGTGAAATGCTTACCAAGCAGTAATGCTCTATGGGATGGCAGAGGCATCCTCTGCACGAGTGAAGCGGACCAGAAGAGATGCTCCCCAGCATCACGTCTGACACAGCCGCAGCTGCACCGTGTGCATCTGCAGCGCTGACACTGGAGCATTAGGCTGGGGGGATTTCACATGCAGTAGTTTAAGTTGACATATACTTTACCCTTGACTGTTTGCAAGTGCTACAACACTCAATCCAAATGCTATTTAACACACAGAGAGACCTAAAGTGGCTCCATACGTGCAGACAGCTCTCAGGCCAGGAGAGGAGGGGCAGGGAAAACAAATATCACAGTTCTTCAACCTCACCGTATTCAAGCTCAGCAATAAGATGCCTTTTTCCTAAGATTGTCCTCAAGTGGCACAATACAAGGTGATTGCTGAAGTGAGCTACATGTGTATCCCCGAGGAGGACCACAGCAGCCAGTGCTTGTGGCAAGGACACTGTGGTGGCCCCATCAATATCAGCCCTCTCCATCCTAACAGCAGCCAGACTTCAGCAACAGCCTTTCAGCTATTTATTTGTACCCCCAGCTACCCGACCATGGCACAGGAGAACAGGGAAGATTTGGGTGGCAGATTCATTTCTCCATCAGCCACCGTGATCCAGGAGCAGGAGCATCCATATGGATGGTCTCAGCTGGCTCCGTGCACTGAGCACCTCTCCCCAGCCCTCTCCAGAGATCTTATTTCAGACCCATCATGGGAAATTTTATCCCATGCCTGGAATTCTTTAGAGGCAAAAATAAATAAGTAAACGTGCCCCACATCCCATTATCCTTCACCATTGCACATCCCGTGGATAACAAGCTGTAACTGGTGTGAAAACCTATATTTAAATACAATATGTATTTCTGAGCAAGTGTGTGCACACGGTGCAGATCCAAAGGTTAGAGAGGGCTTGAGACCTTCTTCCCCATTGCGAGGCAAGAAGGCTGCGTACACACAATATCCAGGTCTAAACTATCCTAACTTCTACTAGGATTTTAGGAAACCATAGAAAATAAATATGCTACTGCACTGATCAAATACAAATATTGTTTCATTTGCCTAAATGGATTTGAAGTGGAGAAACCTGCTTATAGAGCTGGCAATAGCCTTATCAAAGCCTCCTTCTCCCCTCTTCCTTTCAAGTTTAATTTGGCTTTTATGACAAAGGACTAGAATCCATCTATTGCTCGCTTACACCTCAGTCTGACAGGCAGGGATGCACAGGATCAGACCTATATGTACTCCCGACATCCCACAGTGTGAGTCTTCATGGACCTGGCTTTGCAGGACCAGCACTACCAGCTCGAAAAGCTGCAGCTCCACAAACCCTCCTCCTTCTTCACAAGCCCCCTCCTGACCTCCCCCTCCTGACCAGTCGCTCTGTTAAAACACAGACTAACAGCAAGAAACAGTTAATATGAACAATGTGCCTGGCAGAGGCAGAGCACTAGCTGAGCACCAGGTACCAGCAATATTACCTTTCATAATCATTGCTTTATTAACATACAACAATCTCATTAAATCTAATCTAAGTGCTTATTTGGCAGGTTCAATAGAAAAGCCTTAATTGAGCTGGGTTTAAATATAGCAACAACTGCTTACTCTGCTTTCTAAGAAGGTGAGAGCTTTCCTGGCGACACCTGCTTGCAGCTGACAGCTTGTTAGTGAAGAAGGATGGGGTTTCAGGGTGCATTTTTGCTGGTTTGGGGTTTTCCCAGCGCTCGGTTTATTTGGGGATACAGGAAGCATCGGTAACATCAGTCACCCAAAGAGGGCTTCCTCCAACACCCAGGTGGGTCCGAGATGGTGCCTTACTACCGAGAGGCCAAAATGGGACAGGATGTGCCATTTGCGTAGTGAGCAGCACAGTTCTGTGCTTAATTAAAGCTTTCTAATCTGCTGGCTGTGAATCTGCCAGGAGGTTTGACAGCTTTGGCTGGACCCCTTTCATCAGCCACAGCTGCAGCAGTAAATGAGCAGCTCTATTGAGCCCCCAGGAGCTGCCGGGGTCCCGGTGGGGATGAATGCCCCCCTTGTCTCCTCCAAAGGGGCCACAGCTTCACCTGGTGTATGAGGGGCTTCTTCCGACCACCCGGCGCCTTGGAGAAAGGGCCCATTTTAAACAGGCCTGGGACTGACCTAAATACCCAGATCTGAGCCGCCCTTGAAGGATGGGACCGGAGAGGAAGGCAAGGATTTAAATATCTGGATTCAGAGCCAAATCTTGGCAGCTGGAAGCCCCGAATTCACCACACAGGAGGTTTGGCTGAAGCAAGGAGACACAGACTTCCAAGTCCTGCCCATCACTTTGGGTACCGGAAAGGCTCCATCCCCCCAGAACCACCTGGTCCATAAGGGATGGAGCAGCACATCCCGTGGCAGGGGGTCGCTACCCATAAGCAGCACACATTGGTGGAGGACCGAGCGCTTTCTGCTCACCTTGATGTGTGTGCCGTGCAGGCTGGTGGCTCCCTCGCAGCTGCTGATCTTCTCTCCACAGGTCCACCTCTGATTCAGCAGCTCACCTCGAAACTCATTTTCTGGGGAAGGGAAGAGGAACACAGGGTCAGGACACAGAGTCAGCCCAGCACCCCATCAGCAGCATCAACCAGAGGTCAAAATGCACTTTTTATTCCCTGCTTGCTTTCTTTAATGGCCGTGCAAATCCTGCCTGAGGGCTTCCATGCTCCAAGCAGGACCCCAGGGCATCACGCCAGGGCCAAGAGCCCCAGACATGAAGAACTGAGCACCCTCAGCCTATCCTGAGCACTGCAATGCTGCTCAGCTTGGTCGTTGGTTGGAAAACAGAGTATTAACAGTGTCACCAGGGCTGAGCAGGGAGCCCCACTGTGCTCATGGCAGCTGGCAAAGGGCTTCCCCTTTACACCCTCTTCTTAAGGTTAAGTTCATTTGCACATCTATAGCAGTGGATGGGACCCATCCAGCAGTGAGAGCAGAGTGAGGTCCCCGCAACAACTCTGTGTGACATCAGTATTTTGGGAGTGGGTCATTACAGCAACAGGCAGTGAAGGTGCAAAACAAGGGTCTCAAAGTTAAAGCTCTCAGACACAAAACTGCCTTTGGAGCAAGGGAGAACAGGCAGAGAGGAACCTCTATCCAAGGGGAAATACTGTGGGAAATGTGTATTCTATAAGCAGATTTTGGGCACTTTCCCTTCACAGAATCCGAGCCTGGTTTTTGTTGGAAAGGACCTTAAAGCTCATCCAGCTCCAACCCCTGCCACGGGCAGGGACACCTTCCACTAGAGCAGGTTGCTCCAAACCCCTGTGTCCAACCTGGCCTTGAACACTGCCAGCGATGGGGCATCATCTAGTACAACTCCAACCACCTTTAAGGGACTGTCACTGGCCCTGCAGCAGCTGGACCAGCACGGAGGAGCTGCCGTGGCACCGCAGCACAAGACGCACCTTCCCTGCGGTGCAGTTACTGCTCACAGTGATGAGATCAAGACCATTTGCCTCCAGACTGTGGCCTCCAGGCCCCAGCATCTTTGTCGCTTTGGGCACCGCTGCAGAGAGCCTCCCCTTCGGCATCTCACATTGCAGCTCCCTCTGGCACCAAGTACTGAATCATTTCCTGCCTGTTCTCCAAGCCTCGCTCCATTCATCTACCGCTGGTGCAAAGGGAAAAGGAGAGCAGCCCTCCAAAGGAGGCACATGAGGAGCTACACACATGCCAGCAGGCTCATTCACCTCGGGCTGCTAATAGCCTGGGGAAGAGCTCGGGGCAGAGGCCTCCTTCCCTCTGCTGAACAGGCTCCTTGGCTTCTTGTTTCTCTATTGGGAGTGATCTCAAAGCAGGAGGAAGGCTCACACATGCTAAAACAAATCTGGGAAGGTGGGTGTTTCCAGCCATGGGTAACTTACCGAGTGTGCAGGACACCAGCAGGTGTCCTACCAGCAGGTCCCAACTTTGGATCTGCTCTGCCACAGAGCAGCTTTTAGGAGAATACATAGAAAATAGCTAGGGAATTTATTCCTCCCCTGCCTGTGTCTGTTCTCCATCTATAAGACATTATGGAGCAACCAGCATGTCCCGCAGTGCTCTTGCAATAAGTACATTGAAATACTGGGATAATTCAATCCTATGATGATGTCCAGTCCAAGATGAATAACCATGAATGTCACTTTCATGTATTTATCCTAAAGCAAAACTGTTCTGAAACCAGGAGAGGGGCTCTTCTAGGTTTTATAGGAGAAATATCTGCATTGGAAACTCCTCTCCTAACCCTGTCTGGAGCATCTTGTTCCAGCCTGGACCCAAAGAAAAGGCAGAGGGCTTGGAAGCAAAATCTGAGAGATGCTGAAACCTTACTCTGCTCTAGAGAAGCTCTGAGGAAAGGGAACAGGGAGGGACAGATGGCCAAGGCAGCTGATGAAACTAAGCAAAATGTGGGGAAGAAGATAGCAAAGGGCAGAAGAAAGGAGAACAGAGAGAGAAATGGCATCAAATAAGAAGAAATAAAGATGTTTCTATAGCACATTCATAGGGCAGCGCAGCTTGCCTGCTTATCTGAAGCCTTTCCCGGAGCATCCTTCTCCCAGGCAGCACGTTTTAAAGCAGGAGCATCCACTCTGGGATGCAGTGGGGGCAGGAGCAGAGAGTGGGTTAAGCTGCAGAAACAAATAGACCTGGAAGCAAGATAACCTGAAGATAGCTTAGAAGATTCCTGAAAGGCTGAGAAGTCAGGAGATACAACCCTGAGGAGGAAACAATGGCACAACACACACATACACATTAATCCTCTGGGCCTGCTTTGCTCACGTGTACTTAAGTCATAGGCTAAGGGTGAGTTCTGGATGCTGCCATGGTAAATCTGGCTCTAGGTGCCAGCTTGTCCTTGCCACGGGGCCAGTCCCAACCTCCTGTGCCTTCATCCCTGTAAGCAAGAGGAGGGAAGGGGCTGTGTGATGGGAAAAGGAGCCTCGGCCAGGCTGAAGGTGTTTTGGCCATGCCAGCTCAGCACCCTCCTGCCCGCTCCAGTCCCTCTGCCCAGCCCGGCTCAGATGGCCAAGGCAGCTCCGTCAACACACGAGTCAGATTTCCTCTCCTCCCTGCTGCTTAAATGCATCTGGTCTCTGGAGAGGATCAGTTTGCACTGCTGGCTGTGCCTTCCACCCTGCATTCAGCAGAAATGAAGCTCACTGGGTATGTGAAGGACACGTCTTTTAACCCCTACCTGGGCCACCCGAGAGGAGATGCAGGATATTGCCATAAATGCAAGTTTTACCCATGGGAAGCAGCTCCCAGAAGGAACAACGCATTCTGGGTCCCTTCCTTGCACCAAGCTGGGACACCAAAGCTCACAGTTCAGGAACACTTGCACCCATGAATAATAACCTAGATGCTCAGCTGGTCTAGGTCACTATAGATCACTGCCTGATGTTCACATCCCAAAGGAAATCACCAGCTTTCCTCACCTGCTCTATCCTCAGCGCCCACCACCTAGCCAGGACTGGATCACACTCCGGGGTCCCTCACTAGACAGGCTGCTTTTCTCCATCAACTTTTACCACAATCCACCACAACATCAGTGTGACCTCTTCCAAATGAGGTTCTTTTCCCAAAGCATGAATCTATTTGTCCCCTTCTCTCCTTCAGAAATACCTACAGAGAGAGGTCAGCTGTGGAATGAAGCACTGATAGTTGTGCAGAACCCTGGCATGAAAGAGCAAGTTCTGTGCAACCTTTGGGTCACCCTCATCAACTCCAAACAAGAAGATCTGGAAAGCTGGGAGGGATACACAATTAAGCAGACTCAGGTGGGCTTCACTTTCACCGAGTATTTAAACCAAATGACTAGAAGAAAACCCCATCAGTCTTCATTTGCTCCCCCAAGCTGAACCCTGTGTTAAGGCAGCAGCAACATGCTGAGAACAGGCTGGATCCTTCGGTGTCCCATCAGACAACACAGGCTCAGAGCAAATACAGCAGCAGCGTCAGGGATTGAGGGTGCCCTTTGGACCCCATCTTTCATATGAATTAAAACAATCAAACACCAGAACAAAACCTCCCCAAATCCAGGTTTTGCATGGTAGCAATTCTCCTCCATCCTCCTCTGATGACAGGAATGTAGGTCTAAGCCCCTCTCAGGGCCCAGAAATACTGTCTATTCAATGCAATTACCACTGTTTACTGTGACCCAGCTACATTCAGTGCTTCAGATTTAGCTTCCCAAACATGCATTTAATTTCAGATCTGATACCGGATGTTAATTGTATATTGCACAGTAAACGACTGATCATTAAAACATATTAATTGAGGTTTAACAGCTGTGTAATAGATATTACATCTCATACTTATCAGCAAATTTGATTTAATAATCAGTTAGGATGGGATGTATGGATGGGAGATGCAGCATGGCCAGCTAGATTGCAGGGTGTTCATTTGCTGACCTAAAGATACTTTTCCTTAGCTTTTTTGGAAAGGAGCTTGGCAGTCACCAAGCAGATATTTAGCTTTGATGCTCTCAGCTGGGGAGCTTATGTGGACAAGCCCCACAGAGTTTACAACCTACAAAGGGAGAAATGGGGGAGCCATGAGCAGTTCCCTCCTATAAAGTTGGGGCCAAGCTGCAAGGACCTGGCCCCATGACTATCATAGAATGGTTTGGAAGGGACCTTAAAGCTCATTCAGTTCCACCCCCCTGCCATGGGCAGGGACACTTTCCACTAGACCAAGTTACTTTTATTTAAAGCAAGTTGAAAATGTCATTGCCCTTGGCAAGGGATATGTATATCCCAGCCCATATGCCCTTGGCTGGTCTCCAGGGCAGTTTACCCAAGTGTTCCACCTCCTGCTGCTCTTCTCCCCTGTCTCCATCATCATGTTAACCCAGCATATCCCACTCTCGGATCCCAGGACCCGCTGCTCCTCATCCCCACAGAATTCCCAGCCATGTCCTCTCTAGGCAAAGTACAGAGCTGGACAATGCCCTGTGTGGCAAGTACAGCCCCGCTCAGCTCTGCAGGTCCTGGGGGCACAGAGGAGAGGAGCCCTGGTTTCCATCTGGCTATGCAGAGGGGACAAGGACACTGCTAGCACCATGCTGCTGTTTCTCCATCTCCAGCCACATGAACCTGCCACCCTTCTTCCAAAGACTCCTGCAGTGCCCAGGAGCCAGCCCAGGGAGCATCCCCTTCCTTGGCTCCCTCCCCAGAACTGAATGAGGCACCAGTGACTCACGTTTCCCTTCCCAGCCCCGTATCACCTCCCCTCTTGGCTCATCCTGCTCTTGATGCCATCAGCGGCCACCTTTGCCCAGCAGCCACGTCAGCCCATGTGGCCACCTCAGCCATGCCAGCTCATGCTTTGCCCTGTGATGCCTGGAACCTTGGGATGAATTTGAATTCTCTTTGGGACATCCTTGATGGGAAGAGGGAATCATCCTTTCCCCATAGCCCTGGACAGGACATGGAGCAACTGCCTTAATCACAAGAAGATTCAGATTTCTCAAGCATGAGAGCATGTTGCAACAGGAAGGGAAGAAGCACAAAACCCTTGGAGAGGGAGCA